AAAAATACTACAGAGTTCCCCCAGTCCTCTCTCTGACATCCTCTCCTCTTCCTTCCCTCCTCTCCAGAAACACTGGCCTCCCTGCTGTCCCTAAACACACCACGCTTGGCCCCACCTCAGGGCCTTTGCACTTGCTCTTCCCCCTGCCTGGACATGCTCTCCACTAGCCTTTTGCACCGCTAGCTCCTTCCGGCCTTCTTCAGGTCTCTGCTCAAATGTAGCCTCCTCCAAGAAGCCCTCCATGACCACCCCCGCTTAGGCTTTTCACCAGCTCCTCTCTGTCATCACAGCCTGTTCTTCACCTGAAGCACTTAGTGCTGTTTGTAAATTAAGTAGATTAAATGGGCAGTCTGCTGAGTTTTGACAGATGTCCCTCCTCATCTAACTACCACAGACAGAACCTCTTGTCACGCCAGGAAGTCCACTCCCATGTTTCTTTGCGGTTCATCCCCCCAGCCCAGGCTACCCTCGACCTGCTCCCTTTGAGTCTAGATTACTGTTGCCTTTTCCAGAATTTGATATAAACGGAATCATAGAGTCTAGTATCTGTGTTTGCCTGGCTTTTGTCTCTGTGTGATGATTTTTAGTTTCGCCCATGGAGTTGCATGTTTCAATAGGTCAGGCTTTTTTCTCACTTAGAGTAAGTAGTCCATGGTATGGATGGAGGTCGGCTGTGTGGTCCACTCGCCTGCTGATGAACACAGGTTCCGATTTGTAGCCACAGTTGACCCTTGAACAGGTTGGGGTGAGGAGCACCCCTCCCCCCGCACAGTAAAAAATCCATGTATCACCTTTGAATTCCCCCAAACTGATCTGCTTATAGCCTACTGTTGACCGGAAGCCTTACTGATAACATAACCAGTCGATTAGCACATATTTTGTGTGTGAAATGTATTATATATTGTATTTTTACAGTAAAGTAAGCTAGAGAAAAGACAATGTTATTAAGAAAATCATGGCCCTGCCCGGTTTGGCTCAGCGGTTGGAGCATTGGCCCCCGGACCAGAGAGACCCGGGTTCGGTTCCCGCTAAGGGCATGTACCTCGGTTGCAGTTTGTCCCCGGCCTGGGTTGGGGTCGTGTGGGTGGCAACCACTCGATGTGTCTCTCTCACGTTGTCGTTTCTCTCTCTCTTCCTCCCTCTCTCCCTCCTGCTCTATCTGAAGATAAATGCAAAGAAAGAAAGAATAAATGCAGTCCAGAGAGACCCGGGTTCGGTTCCCGCTAAGGGCATGTACCTCGGTTGCAGTTTGTCCCCGGCCCTGGTTGGTGTCGTGTGGGTGGCAACCACTCGATGTTTCTCTCTCACATTTATGTTTCTTTCTCTCATAAGGAAGAGAAGATACATCTCCAGTATGGATTGAAAAAGCCCGCAAATAAGTGGACCCACATAGTTCAAACCTGTGGTGTTCAAGGGTCAACTGTATTTGGAAAAAGCATTGTGTCTTCGTGGGGACAGCCTTTCATTTCTTGAGGCTACACCCTAGGAGTGGGGTCTCCTGGTTGAAGGGTGGGAGAATAGTCGGCTTCATAAGAAATTGTCGAATTGGCCCTGGCCGGTTTGGCTCAGCGGTTAGAGCGTCGGCCTGCAGTCCAGAGAGACCCGGGTTCGGTTCCCGCTAAGGGCACGTACCTTGGTTGCAGTTTGTCCCTGGCCCCAGTTGGGGTCGTGTGGGTGGCAGCCACTCGATGTTTCTCTCTCACATTGATGTTTCTTTCTCTCTCTTCCCCGCTTCACTCCAGCTCTGTCTGGAGATAAATGCAAAAATGTCCTCGGGTGAGGATAAAAAGAAATTGTTTAATTGTTTTCCAAAGTGGTCGCCCCATCACTCATGTTTTTTCATGTTTGATGACACATGAAGGGTGGCCTTGGGGGAAGATGCCATGTCGGTCAACAGGCCGAGGTCTGCTTGGAAAGGGGACGTTTGAGACTTGATGTTGAAAGCCACTGGGCTTGGCAGGGCCCTGCTGTGCTGCTAGACCCCTCGGATTCAGGTAAAAATGCTTCTCGTGGTAGGAATGAGGGGGGGATGCTTATTACATTTTAGATTCTGGGGTCAGAGGGACTGAACCGAACTCCTGGGAGGAGGGCTTGAAAACACACATTTTATCTTATTATTATTATTATTTTTTTTATCCTCACCTGAGGACATTTTTGCATTCATCTTCAGATAGAGTGGGAGGGAGAGAGGGAGGAAGAGAGAGAGAGAAACATCGGTGTGAGAGAGACACATGAAGTGGCTTCCACCCACACGACCCCAACCAGGGCCGGGGACAAACTGCTACGGAGGTGCGTGCCCTTGGCCGGAATCGAACCTGGGACTCTGGTCCACGGGCCAAAGCTCTAACCGCTGAGCCATACGGGCCAGGGAGAAAATACACATTTTAAATAAGCTCCCTGGGTGGACCTGATGTACCTTAATGTTTGGGAAGCTCTGAGTGTGAAGATGTGGGTGAGAGCGCAGGGCATTCCACGTGGAAAGAACTTCGAAGAAAAATCCCTGGGAAGGGAGAGAACAGATCACAGGGGCAGGGACCAGGAACCCAGGGCGGCGAGTGCTGGCCGAAAATCTGGGGCTTTGCTGAGGACACTGGGGAGCTATGGCAGGTTTAAGTATGTGGGGGGTGAGTGGTTGGATTTGGCTTTCTTAGGACCTCCTGGCGGCCACTCTGTGTGTGTGTGTGTGTGTGTGTGTGTGTGTGTGTGTGTAACTACTCTCAGGAAGGGGATGATGTGGAAACCACGGCAGGCAGAAGACGGGTGTTGATCTCCACTCTGCGGACTCTCCCCTGCTTTATTTTTAGGTGTCTGGCTTCCAGCCACTCCCTGCCCTGGATTCTTGACCTGGGGACATCTCTGACTCCACCGGCCACACTCTTGTTCAGGCTCTGCCTCTTCTTCCACCTCCTCTTCCTCCTCCCGTGAGGACAGGTGGGCAGGCCGCCAGACAGGGTGTGGGTTTGTGGTGACGGGGGAGTGTCTCCGGTTGTTCGGGTTGTTCGGGTTGTTATGGGCCCTTCAGTGTTTGTCTGGGAGTCTGGGAACTTCCAGGTGCAGTGGGCTAGGCGCTGGTATGCATTTGTCGCTTTGCCCCCTCCCGTGGGTCCTCCCCGCCCTCCAGGACCCTGGCTAATCCCCAGCTTTCCTGGGACAGTGCACATCACGTCTGCCTCTGGTCTGTGCCAGGAGGTACTATTACCAGTTTCTACCTCCCGGGGTTGTTGAGAGGTTCCATGAGTTAAAGACAGACAATAGATATGACCATTATCTCCTACCTGTGTGAACAGTGTTTCTCCCTGGTTGTGATTTGAATCCGCGTCCCTGTGTACCTTCTTTGAGGCTCCATGTATCCAACCTTCCACCTACCAGCTGCGCGACCTTGGGCGAGGTACCAGGCTTCACTGTGCCTCTGTTTCTTCATCTGCAAAATGGGTTTAACCGTAGTAACTATTTCCCAGGGAGGATGAGGAGATTGACTTAATTACCCACCTGAAGAGCTTAGAGCAATGTCTGGAACACAGTCAGCCTTTGGTTGCACCAGCGTATCCCTGGGGCATCCCTGGGGTGTGAGCTCAACTCCCAGCGTCTGCGGCGCGTGTCTCTCCTCAAATCTGGGGCAGGAAGCGCCCGTGGAATCATGTAGTTACCTGGGGCCAGGCTTGTGAGGGTGGCCTCTGTTTGCTCATCTGGGAAATGGGGACAACAGCAGCACCCCGCAGAGCGTTGGTGCACAGGGGGGATGGGGCTGACGTGCTTCAGGTGGCACATAGGCGGCACCCACCCCCCCGCTGGAGGAGTGTGTGCCCCCTGCTGCGCTCCAGCCCCACACCCTGTGGTCTCAGGATGAAGTGAACCTGTCCCCCCTTAGGCCAGCGCCTAGGCTGTCACTGGCAATCGGTGTGGAACTCTGCCCTGCGCTTACCTGCTGTGGGATGCTGCGTGGGCATCTGGCTCTACAGGTTTCTCTGCCACCTCACTTCCTCCGCACCCCTACCTCCTGCCCCCACCATCATCCCATCCCTCACTCCAAACTCCCGGTGACCTCTGAGGGAGGAGGCATTGGCAGTCTGTAGTGCCTGTCCCAGCCCCAGGAAGGGGTACAGGCACCCCAAAAACCCAGATGGTGTTGCGGCTTCCCTCTCTGATGCTATCTCAGCGTCTCCCTGGGGTACCCCATCTTCGTGACTCCCTGTCTCTGGCTATAGGTTTCTTTCTGCCCTGCATGCCCCACCTTGGCTTCCAGAACAGGAAATGTCAGGGACACGAGGGCTTGTCCCAGGTGGAGACAGAGGAGGAAGTAGCAGAAGCAAGACCTCCCTTCCACTCTCAGCCCTCTGCTGAGGGAAGCAGAGAGGGGTCTCCATTAATTAACCTCCTGGATCTTAATGAGGCGGGTGGGCCTCATTAGAGAGCAAGGAGCCCTAGCATTAGCTCTTCTGCCACACCCCGGTCCCAGGGCCAGTGCCTGGGTCCTCAGCTGACTCTGGGGAAATGGAAGCAGGAGGCTTGGGAAACGGAGGGGCTGGGGCCTGGCTTCCTGCCTTCTGAGAAGACGGCTGGGGGCTGACTCCTGGGTCTGAGGGAGGAGGGGCTGGGGGCTGACTCCTGGGTCTGAGGGGGGAGGGGCTGGGGGCTGACTCCTGGGTCTGAGGGGGGAGGGGCTGAGGGCCTGGACTCCTGGGTCTGAGGGGGGAGGGGCTGGGGGCCCGGACTCCTGGGTCTGAGGGGGAGGGGCTGGGGGCCCGGACTCCTGGTCTGAGGGGGGAGGGCTGGGGGCCCGGACTCCTGGTCTGAGGGAGGAGGGCTGGGGGCCCGGACTCCTGGTCTGAGGGGGAGGGGCTGGGGGCCTGGACTCCTGGGTCTGAGGGGGGAGGGGCTGGGGGCCCGGACTCCTGGGTCTGAGGGAGGAGGGGCCGGGGGCCCAGATCCTTCCCCCAACACACCCCTGACTTAAATGCCAGCTGGAGAGTCCCGCCCCCTCCTGCCCCAGTTAACCCAGGCCCTGCAGAGCTGCCGGGACAGTCTCCAGACCCGACTGATGGAGGAGGTGCGGGAGGGACACGGCGGGATGGAGGCCGAGGAGCCCGCGAGCCCCCAGGAGCCGCCCTCGCCCCCTTCGCTGCCTTCACCGACGTCGCCGCCGCCACCTGCTGCTCCCGAGAGCCCCGGGTTGTCCCCGCTAGAGCAGCCGTCGGAGGCCCACGCGCGGCAGCTGCTGCTGGAGGAGTGGGGGCCGCCGGGCGGGAGCCTGGAGCTGCCGCCGGGCATCACCTGGAAGCTGCTCCTCCTGCGGCGGCCCCTCTACCGCAACCTGCTGCGCTCGCCCAACCCCGAAGGTGCAGGGGAAGGTGCAGGGGAAGGTGCAGGGGAAGGTGCAGGGCGGGGGCTGGAGCAGCGGCGCTGGCTTCTGCGTCTCCTTTCCCTGTCTCTATCCCCGCATCTGTCTCTGTGTCACTGTCGCCTCTCTCTTCTCAGTGAGGCTCTCTTCCCACCTGCATCCCTGTCTCTGTCTCTCCGTCTCCTGTGTCAGGCGTCTCTGTGTCTCTCTCCCTGGTGTCTGTCACCCTGGCTCGCTCCATCCCACCTGCTCTCTCCCACCCCTCCTCCTCCTGCCTATATTCCAAGTCTTTTTTTTTTTTTTTAAATCCTCACCCGAGGATATTTTTTATTTTTTTACATTTGTCTTCAGAATGGGAGGGAGAGAGAAGAAGAGACAAATCGAGAGAGAAACATCGATGTGAGAGAGGCACATCGATTAGGTGCCACCTGCACCACCCCAACCGGGGCTGGGGACGAACCCCAACTGAGGTACGTGCCCTTGGCCGGAATCAAACACGGGACTCCTTGGTCCACAGGCCAACTCTCTAACCTCCTGGATCTTAATGAGGCGGATGGGCCTCATTAGAGAGCAAGGAGCCCTAGCATTAGCTCATCTGCCACACCCCAGACCCAGGGCCAGTGCCTGGGTCCTCAGTTGGCCCTGAGTCAAACCGGCCAGGGCCAAGTCTCTTTTTCTGGGTGCCTCTCAGTCCCTCTGTCTCTGTCTCACCAGAATGCAGTGTCCCACCCCCCCAGGACATTCTCAGGGCTCTCCCTGGGCCTGACTCACGCATCCCTGCCAGGCTGGTCTGGCCTGGAGGGTGGGGCACAGCCTCCTGCCCATCAGGCCAGAGCAGCCCTGGGGGTAGGGGGCCTGCAAAGGGGGACAGGGACAGCTTCAGCAGGCCTGAGGCTCCATCTACCACCTGCCCCTTCCAGGCATCAACATTTATGAGCCAGCGCCCCCTACTGGCCCCACACAGCAGCCCCTGGAGTCTCTGGGTGAGTGCCTGGTGGCTGGGCCCAGGGCAGGGCAATCTGGAGACCAGGCGCTTTCTAACCCTTGGTCCCCCCACCTGGCAGGCAACTTCCGGGGGTGGTACATCAGGACTGAGCAGCTCCAGCACAACTGCAGGTGAGTGGCCAGGACCCCGTGGCCTGGAGTGAGTCCCTCCCCTGGCCTTCCTAGTTAGTCACCAGAGAGAATGCTCCTGACACACAGCACAGGCTCTGGCCAAGTCTGGTTTCCACATAGCAGGTGCTCAATAAATAGCAGCGTCTAGGGTCCCTCTGCTGAGCCTCTTTTCCCGGGAGGGGGGAGCCCCCAGGCCTCCTCAATCCAGGAGAAACCCAGCCCTGGTTCTGGACGGTGAGTGAGATGGTGTAAGTCAGGGGCTCAGAGTCACAAACAGACCCCCGAGGGTGGGATCCTGGCCCTGCAGCTTCTCTGTGCTTGGCCTTGAGCAAGTCACTTCTGTTCCTGAGCCCCAGTTTCCCCATCGGCAGCACAGGGTTCAGAATGCATCAGTGTCCGAGAGGATGACGAGAACCGAGACTGTGGGTGCCCAGCGAGAGCTCAGTGCCCATACGGGGGTAGCCTGGCCATGAGGGTGCTGTGACCAGGGTCCTGCTCCCTGGGGTCAGGCGGACCTGGGAGATGCTCAAGGAGCAGCAGGTCCCAGAGCCCGCCTGCCCTGTGCCCTCCCCACAGCTGGACGGTGAAGCATCAGTGTGTGGATCTGCTGGCTGAGGGCCTGTGGGAGGAGCTGCTGGATGACGAGCAGCCAGACATCACAGTCATGGACTGGTAGGTGCCCCTGCCCGCCAGGCTGCACACCGCAGCGCCCCGAAGAGCAAGCTGGCCCCATCCTCCCCTGTGGTCTGAGCTTCCCACCAGACCCCCTGGCCCTGCAGGCCCCCGCCCTGCCCACCTGTGCCGCCCATTCTCTCTGACACAGTCACATGGTCAGGTTTTGAAATCCGCCAGGCCTGAGGCCGCTCCTTCCCCTTGAGATGCTTGTCTTTCTCCAGACGAGTCCCTCCTTATCCTTCAGGAGTCAGGTACACGTGGCTCCACCAGGAAGCCTTCCCTGACCAGCCCCCATCTGGGCCCTGACTATTCCTGTTGTCCCTGCCTGGTGACAGGCCTGCCTGCCCCCTGGACTGTGATCCTGTGCGGACAGGGCACGGGCTGTCCTGGTCACTGCTGCGTTGCCAGCACCACCCGCCCAGGTGCACAGAGTGGGCGCCAGACAGTGTGTGCGAAATGGCGAGCGGGCCAGAGGTTGGGGTCGGGGTGTTGGGGCTGCGGTGGCAGCAGAAGGCCTGGGCCCCACCCTCAGGTTTGAGGACAGCCGGCTGGACACGTGCGTCTATGAGCTGCACGTCTGGCTGCTGGCAGCTGACCGCCACACCATCATTGCCCAGCACCATGTGGCCCCCCGGACATCGGGGAGGGGTCCTCCGGGCCACTGGGTCCAGGTGAGACTCTCTGCCCCAGCTGCCACCCCAGAAGTGCCCCAAGACCTCACAGCGGGAAGCAGGAGGACAGGGGGTTCATGGGTCCCTAATAAGGACTTCTTTCTGACCCGGTGCTGCCAGGTGTCCCACGTATTCCGCCAGTACGGCCCTGGGGTGCGCTTCGTACACTTCCTGCACAAGACCAAGAACCGCCAGGAGCCGGGTGGGCTGCTGCGGACCAGGGTGACTGACTCTTCCGTGTCGGTGCAGTTCAGGGAGTGACTGGCTGGTGCCGGGTCGTGCTGACCCCTGGTCTCATCTCTCTACGCCTTGTCACCTCCCTGACCCTTGAAACCTCCCTGACACTGTCACTCCCTGACCCTTGGAACCTCCCTGACCCTTAGCTGTTCCTAACCCAGAGCACCTCACTGACCCTTCAGCATCACCCTGTTCCCTTAGCACCTCCCTGATGCTCAGCGTCCCCTCCACCACCCCTAATGCCTTCAGGACCCCTCAGCCTCTCCCTGGTTGCTCACCGCCTCCTGGGCCTGGGCCCCTGGACCCTGCCTGGTCCTTGGCTTCTCACTGGACATCTTCCCACCCTGAGTGTCTGACTCCAGCTTTTCCCCTGTGTGCTCTGGGCTCCGGGAGCGCAGGAGCATGCACTCAGTAAATCCTTGTTCACTAACAAATAAACACAGGTGCCCAAGGATGCTGAGTCTTTCTGCCATCTCTGCTCCTGAAACCTCCCTGCGTTCCGGGCCCACTCGCACACCCTCCAACCCGGGATCCCGCAGCACCTCGCCCTCCTCCACTTTCTGCACCTCCCTTGACCCTGACTCCTCACGTATCTCCATGTCCACTCTCTCGCCATCTCCACCTACCTCTTTGCCCATATTTCTTAACTCTCAGAATGTCCCCGAATTCGCCTCCTCCAGACAATCCCAAGGTGTCATCACCCAGAGCTGTCCCCATACCTTTCCTCCCCCAAACCCTAATTTCTCTTCTTTAGCGTCTCCTAAGAGCCCCCAAACCGGGTGTCCATCCAGGGCTCCCACCCCTGGTGGTGGGAGTGGGAATAGCTTGCAAATGCTCAGTTGCAGAAATAGGCACATTTACTGCAAAGTGTCTTCCATGTGTCGGGGAGGAGAGGGGTAAAACATTTAACAACCCGTAAGTCCTAGGCTCTGGCCAGATCTCACAACAGACCCTGGATCTAGCCTGGGGCTGGTCCTTGAAGGCCTCCTCTGTCTCCCCCAGGAGTCCTGAGTCTGGAGGTCCCCTGCAGGCCAGAAGAGCTGGGGGCCCCCAGGGAAGGGCTGTCTATCAAAAGCCGGGGGAGCATGTCGGTGTTTAACTGTCAGCCAGCCGTACCAGTGCATGCCACACGTGTCCTGTGTGTGCACACCTAAATCCACGTCAGAATCTATGGCTGTGTCCCCTTCACAGCACTGTCACAGGTAGGGGCTGATCCTGGCATGACCACCCTGCTGTCTCCCCAACCCACCCCTGCCCTGGGTGGACTTGGGTCCCAACACAGGCAGATGGCAGACAGGGACAACTTCAGGAGAGCTATATTGCAGGGAAGGCAGGGAGGGGGCGGGCAGAAAGCTCTCTTCCTTTGGGACTTGGGGCTTTCAGCAGGCCCCAGGGACAAGGCCAGGTGAGGGGCTCATCTCTCTGTAGGGCCTGGAGAGGAGGGACCTCTAAGGCATCAGTAGCACCTGCAACAGAATAAAAAATTATCACCAGGAAGTGTGAGGGCCTCAGACACCCGGGGGGGGGGGGGGCTCTATAGCCTGAGAGGAGAGGGGACTGGGGCTGAGCTCCAGCACCAGGAGCCAGGGGTCCTGGCCTGGGATTTGGGGCAGGGGACTCTTGGAGCTCCTGGGGGTAGTGGGTAAGTAGGGTGTTTTGGAGGCTGCTATGCCTAGATTTAGGGCCTCAGAGTCTGGGAGTCTGGATACGTGAGTTCAGGGTGGGCTCAGGGGTCTCCAAATTGGGTCTGGGGCTCTAGAAGCTTAGCAGGGGCCCTGGGACTGGTTTCTGGGGTTGAGTCTGCCCTAGAGAGTCTAGGTGGGCGGGGAACAACATAAGAGCTGGAATGGGTGTCCCTAAGTTTGGGTCTGGGGTCTTGAGGTCTGGGTCAGGTGTAGAGTCTGAGAGGCCCCAGGAAGCTCTGGGATCTGATGATTTGGGAGGGGGAGACCTGGCTTTGGTTCTGGGGGCTCCAAGGGGAGGGCTGGGTGGCTCTGCACCCCCACACTAGGCTGGGCAACTCCAACTGAGTGGCCCTCTGGGGGTGCAGCTGTGGGTGGTTAGCGGGTTGGGGGATCAGGTCAGTTGGAGGGGGGGTCCCAGGATGGAGGGGTAGTGTTGGGACAGCTTCTAAGACAGGGAATCCAGAACTGGGTCTGAGAGATGCAAGGAGCATGCACTTAGGGGAAGGGGTGCGGGTGAAAAGGGGCACCTCCAGGACTGGGTCTGGGGACTCCCAACTTGGACCAGGGGCTCAGGGGTGGGACAAGCCCGCAGGCCGGGTGGCGGCGGGCTGGGAGCTGGGTTGGGAGCGCAGGACGCGGATGGTGCAGGGGCGGGCGGGAGGCACCTGCAGTAGATGGAGGAGATGGCGTCGGACCAGTGGCCCAGGACGCCCCTGCGGTACTCTTCAAGGCGCGGGTAGGCGCCGCTCTTGAACTTGTGCGTCTTCCCAGCCTTGCCTCGGCGGGACCACACGGTGAGCTCGCAGCGCGGGGCCACCACCAGGGAGGAGATGACGTTGGTCCAGCCAGAGGGCAGGTAGGGCATGTCGCTGTCCGCCTCTATGGCCAGCTCGGCGCCTCCGCAGCAGTTCTCATAGTACGGGTCGCTCTTGTCATACACCTTGGCGCACGTGCGCGTCCCGTCGGGGTTCTTGAGCTCGGAGGCCGCCGGGCAGGCGCCTCGGACAGCGGGGACGGCCACCAGGGCCAGGGCCAGCAGCAGCGGGCACAGCGGGGACATGGTGACACTGCGGGGCCGCGCCCCTGTGGGCTTTTATGCTCCTGACCCGTGGGAAGGGAGAAGCTGCGAGATTAGGGCTCCGGGAGAAACGGGGAGGGCACCCACTCCCCCGGAGCAGGGAGACCTTCCTAGCCTGGGTGCAAACCCACAGCCCAGACACACAAGGTGGACCTATTGGTATGAAGCACAGCAGCATAAGAGTTTATGTAGCAAAACTCTATGAAGGAAGTCAGCCAACACGGTGAGGACCGGTCAGTTGCAACACAGGGGGCAACAGGGTTAAGAGGTCCAGGTAGAAAGCTCTTAGCACCTGACCAGGAAGGAGACATCCAGCCCCCACCCCACCCCCTTCAAGGTAAGGACAGGCTGAAGGAGGGGAGAGGAGGGAGCTGGGCCCTCAGGCTGGACAGTTCCCAAGACCTTGGGAAAGTAGAAGCTGGAGATAAGGAGAGAGAGGCCCTGGAGGGGAAGGGGGCTGGAGGAGGGTCAGAGCGAGCTCCCTCCCCTCAGGAGTGGGAGATCTTCCTGACCAAGTTCTCAAACCGCAATCTGTGCAATATGAGAGAGGCCTGCTTGTGCAACATTGGGAAACCATTGCAAGGCCCCTGGCCCTGAGGCTCAGCGGGTTGGGCGTTGTCCCGAGCAAGGAAAGGTTTGGAGTTCAAGTCCCACTCAGAGCACAATCAGGGCCGAGGGGTGGAGGGCTCCATCCTCTGTAGGGGACTTGCAGGGGGCAGCCAATGGATGTTTGCTCTCACATCAATGATCCTCTCTCCCTCTCTTTTCCTCTCTTTCTCAAAAACAACAACTAATAAATATATAAATAAATATACATTGCAAGGTGATGTGCAAAGTCTTGGGGGGGAAACAGCTATAAAAGTAAAGAGTGTTTACAAATTGACAAGATATCAAGCAAGGCCCTTAACCCCAAGAAGAATAAACCTTGGAGGGGCTGTGGAGGAAGAGGAGGCTGCCACCTGCCACCACCACTCCCTGGGAACCAGAAGATTTTTTAAGAGGTTGGAAATCTTGCCCTGGCCGGTTTTGCTCAGTGGTTAGAGTGTCAGCCTGCGGATCAAAGAGTCTCGGGTTCGATTGCGACCAAGGGCAGGTACCTCAGTTGCAGTTCAATCTGGCCCTGGTTGGGGTCGGTGAGAAGCAACCAATCGATGTCTCTCTCTCACATTGATGTTTCTCTTTCTATCTCTCCCCTCCCCCTCCATTCTACCTAAAGATAAATGGAAAAAAATATCCTCAGGGGAGGATTTAAAAAAAAGACGTCGGAAATTTTGATCTATAAAGTAATTAGGAGCTATTGAAATGTATAAAATTTCCAAACTTTTGTATAGCAAATAAACAAACAAAAACCTAACCTGGGAGAATAGAGACAATTCTTGTGTGACATACGATGAGTGCTTACGAACCCGCACACTTCACTGAAAATATCTTTCTCATTGCGCTGAGAATATTTTATTGGCCTTTTGGGTAGAAACTGGAATCTTTATGCTGGGAAGAGTGATCCCACCATACTTCTGCTGTAACCAGCTCATGGCCTCCCCTCTGCTGCTTCTGTGTTTGGCCCGGTGCAGCCTGTCCCGGGTCCTGTCAGCCATGCTGATAGCTGGCCTGCCCAGCACCACATAAGCCAAAGAAAAAATTCCGGAGCAGGACAGGAAGGGGAGGGAGCCTGGCATCCCCGGGTGGGACGGGGCCCCGGGCATCTGGGAGCCTGGCCAATGCAGAGGCCCTTTGGCACTGCTGGTCTCCTGCTAGACAAGAACAGGGTCCAGAGAGGATGAGCTGCTCAGACAGACAACAGTTCAAGTCTGTGGCTCTGTGGGGGTGTCCGTCTGGGCCTGTTTCCTTATCTGTAAAATGGGTACTATTTCTTCCTACGCTATAGGGCTGCTGTGAAGATCATAAGGGATAATAGAAAGTTGGAGGATTCAAGGAACAGCCCGGCTCCAGATCCCTGCTCCTCCATGAGGCGCTCGGGTGGCGGTGCCCACCTCAGAGTGCTGTGTGGGAGTAAAGGGGTCAAAGCGCGTGGCAGCAGGTGCAGTAGGGCCCTGGCTAAGCGCACAGGAGCACGTGCCATCATTACTATTATGAAAGCCTGGCACACAGTAAGGGCCCAGTAAGTGGAGCCAGCACAACCCAGCAGCCACCGCGATTTGCTGTTATCCACAGTCACTCAGCTGACTCCCTGCTGGTCCCTCAGACTGTCTGCCACTCTGGCCAGGGTGACACAGTGATTAAGAGCCCAAGTCTGGCCCTGGCCAGTTTGGCTCAGCGGTTGAGTGTTGGCCTGCGGACCAGAGAGTCCCGGGTTCGGTTCCCACTAGGGGCACATACCACACAAAAAAAAGAGCCCATGTCTGGAAACACAGAGGTAGGTTCTAATTTTGACTCCATCTCCTTGCTGAGTGAACTTGGGCAAGTGAACTCACCTCTCTGAGCTTCAGTTTCCTCCCACCTTCAAAGGGATAATAGAATATGATCATATAAAACCACTTTATATTAGAAAGTAATTTATTACTAATATAATAATAGATTCATAAATATGAATAATCCACATAATTGTCATTTATAAATGTAATATAAATACTTAATATGTGATATTGAATAGAGAACTGCATACATATAAATATATAAAGCGCGAAGTACAGCGCCAGGCACCTATTAGGTGCTCAATAAATAGGAGCTATTATCATTCTTCTTCTTATGATTCTGAGACCCCGAACCTTGGCCTGGTCCTGCCCCAGACCAGACCTGGATCCTTCTTTCTCTTTTCCTTCCATGAGTCCATGAAATCTAATCTCCAGCTGCTAACTTCCCAGGGGGCTCCCTTGACCTCAAGGACACAGCACCCCGCCCCCCAGCTCTGCAGGGGCGCAGCCTCAGGGATGGAGACATGGTAAGTGTGGCTTGCGTGGATGCAGCCACCTAGAGCTCCACCTGCCCAGCAGGGCCATGAGTTTCAGACACAGATGGTGACATGGGCCAGCAAGGTGACCCAGATAGGGAGGTGGCCCAGGGACAGGAACACAGACCCATTGGCCCACAGCACACAGCCAGCATCAAGGAGAACCCAGAGAGATCACAGCATCCCTAATCCAGGTACACACACACACACACACACACTCACACTCACACATGGGCGGGGGGCACGCCTTCACACAGTCAGCCACTGATGGTCACCGAATCTCATTGTTGACTCTCCACATTGAATGTAGACACACACTTGATACACATTCCCAGAGAAACACTGTTTCAGACAATGCCCCCCCAAAACACACCCCTACCATCACCAGCACCCCTCCAGCCCCCAACCACTGCCCCCCACACCCCAGGAAATCTCAAAGTCCAAACCCACTGGCATGCCCGGGGGCGGACACACACAGGATCTTCATCCTAAAACAGTTTCCTCACTGTTATTAACACACACGGGACACATAGTAGAAAAATAAAGAACTCCTAATCACCGTTTTTTTTTCTTCAAATGGAAGAATGCTTGCCCTTGAGGACCCGTGAGCCCTTGAGAAACTCAGACGGTAAATCAATAATTCGAGTGCAATATAAACAGAGTTATAACAGAGGATTGCAAAGGGAACACAGTGAGAAGAAGAGCTTGGGGTTGTTCTTTTATCTGCTGATATATTTAGATTCGTATAATAAGAAAAACATCCTCTTTTCAGAGCTCACAACCTTGATCTGACGATTTTCACCAGACCATAGAAAAACAGGTTGGTGTACATGTGAAATTGTCACGAGAAATAAGAAAGAGTTGGTCTCAAGCCAGGTAGTACCTGAAGGTGAACAACATCATAGGGACGCACAATTTCAAAGAAAATGCTGTCTGTTGCATACATACAGGAAAATATTCAGATCAGTAGTTAAGTTGGTGCTGGTTCATCAGAACTCCTTAATTACACGTCTGTAATGATGTCGCTGAACGGGAACATTTCTTAAGGGCTAACATGACCCTCCGAGGCAGCCGTAACTGCGTGGTTTGGAAACAGTAGCCCTGAAAGTGTGGTCCCTGAAGCAGCAGCATCCGCATTGCCTGGGAACTCCTTAGAAATGCAGGTCCTCGGCCCCACCCCAGTCCTACTGATCTAGGGGTGAAAACCCAGCAACATCCAGGGTAAACAGGAGACCCCAGTCATGATCAAGAAATGCCCCCTGAAAGTATTTCATCCATTTATTCGGTAAACATCTGCTGAGTCCCTGCTTCGTGCCAGGCCCTGACCTGGGAGGCAGTGGGACGCAGAGTGACCAAGAGAGCCCGGCCCTGCCCTCACAGGCTTCCCCGTCCAGTTGCTTTCAAACTTGAACTCTTGCTATTTTCAATGTTGGTTTTTTTAAAAAATCCTCACCAGAGGATATTTTTCCATTGATTTTCTTTTTTTATATAGAGAGTGGGAAGGAGAGAGAGAGAGACTTCGATGTGAGAGAGACACATCAACTGGTTGCCTCCCCCACGACCCTGTCTGGGGCCAGGATTCGAACCTAAAATCCAGGTATGTGTCCTTGAACAGGAATCGAAACCTCGACCCTTTGGCCCAAGGGCCGATGCTCTAACCACTGAGAAATTGATCAGGGTCTATTGAATCCTATTTTGTTCCAGGAATCATGCTTTAGCACTTGACACATTTATTCACACCAACACCCATTTAGCACTATTTTATTGATTGCAAACTAAAAGTCTAAGTGACTTCCTTAAAGTCACAAGGTAAGTGAACAGAATTTGAAATTTGAAGATCGCTCTGAACTCAGAGTTTACTTTTTTTTTTTTTATTGATTTTAGAGAAAGAGAAAAAGAGAGGGGGAGAGAGAGATAGAATATTGATGAGAGAGAACATTGACTGGCCGCCTCCTGCATGCCCCCCACTGGGGATCAGGCCCACACCTGGGCATGTGCTCTGACCGGGAATCAAACCGGTGACCTCTTGGTACATGGATCCACACTAAACCACTGAGGCACACCGGCCGGGCAG